ATCACCATATATTACATAATTTGTTTTGGTGTAGTGTTCCATGATTCATTGTTTGTTCATAACACCCAGTGCTCCATGCAGAATGTGCCCTCTTTAATACCCATCACCAGGCTAACCCATCCCCCTACCCTCCTCCCCTCTAGAAACCTCAGTTTGTTTTTCAGAGTCCATCATCTCTCCTGGTTTGTCTCCCCCTCTGACTTACTCCCCTTCATTCTTCCTCTCCTGCTATCTTCTTCTTTTTCTTTTTTTTTTCTTAAAATATGTTGCGTTATTTGTTTCAGAAGTACAGATCTGTGATTCAACAGTCTTACACAATTCACAGCGCTCACCGTAGCACATATCTTCCCCAATGTCTATCACCCAGCCACCCCATCCCTCCCACCCCCGACCACTCCAGCAACCCTCAGTTTGTTCCTGAGATTAAGAATTCCTCATATCAGTGAGGTCATATGATACATGTCTTTCTCTGATTGACTTATCTCACTCAGCATAACACCCTCCAGTTCCATCCACGTCATTGCAAATGGCAAGATCTCATTCCTTTTGATGGCTGCATAATATTCCATTGTGTATATATACCACATCTTCTTTATCCATTCATCTGTCGATGGACATCTTGGCTCTTTCCACAGTTTGGCTATTGTGGACATTGCTGCTATAAACATTGGGGTGCACGTACCCCTTCGGGTCCCTACATTTGTATCTTTGGGGTAAATATCCAGTAGTGCAATTGCTGGATCGAATGGTAGCTCTAATTTCAACTGTTTGAGGAACCTTCATACTGTTTTCCAGAGGGGTTGCACCATCTTGCATTCCCACCAACAGTGTAGGAGGATTCCCCTTTCTCCACATCCCCGCCAACATCTGTCGTTCCCTGACTTGTTAATTTTAGCCATTCTGACGGGTGTGAGGTGGTATCTCATTGAGGTTTTGATTTGGATTTCCCTGATGCCAAGCGATGTTGAGCACTTTTTCATGTGCCTGTTGGCCATTTGGATGTCTTCTTTGGAAAAATGTCTGTTCATGTCTTCTGCCCATTTCTTGATTGGATTATTTGTTCTTTGGGTGTTGAGTTTGATAAGTTCTTTATAGATTTTGGATACTAGCCCTTTATCTGATATGTCATTTGCAAATATTTTCTCCCATTCTGTCAGTTGTCTTTTGGTTTTGTGGACTGTTTCTTTTGCTGTGCAAAAGCTTTATATCTTGATGAAATCCCAATAGTTCATTTTTGCCCTGGCCTCCTGTGCCTTTCGTGATGTTTCTAGGAAGAAGTTGCTGCGGCTGAGGTCGAAGAGGTTGCTACCTGTGTTCTCCTTTAGGATTTGGATGGACTCCTGTCTCACGTTTAGGTCTTTCAACCATGCAAGATTTCATTCTTATGGCTGAGTAATATTCCATTGTATATATAGACCACATCTTCTTCATCCATTCGTCAGTCCATGGACACTTGGGCAGCTTCCATAGCTTGGCTATTGTAAATAATGCTGCTATAAACACCGGGGTTCATGTATTCCTTTGAATTAGTGTTTTTGTATTTCTTGGGTAAATACCCAGTAGTGCAATTGCTGGATCATATGGCAGCACTATTTTTAATTTTTTTGAGGAACCTCCATACAGTTTTCCACAGTGGCTGCACCAGTTTGCATTCCCACCAATAGTGTAAGAGAGTTCCTCTTTCTCTGCATCCTCGCCAACACCTGTTGTTTCCTGTGTTGTTGATTTTAAGCAGGCAGCCTTTTTAAAAAGAAGGCTCTGCTATTCTCGTAGGACTTTATTTCAACTCCCTACTGCTAATTCTGCAAGTGTTGAAGGTGTGGCTCCTACCTGGAGCCATACCAGCACACAGGAAGTTGTTTTAAGTTAACTGTAACCAAGGCACTTTTTAAATTTCCCTTTTAAGTGTATGCATGAGGTTAATACACGGAATTAGGTAAGTGTAAAATAAGTCTTTCTTTCTTTCCTTTTTTTAAAGATTTTATTTATTTATTTGAGAGAGAGTGCACAAGCATGAGCAGGAGAAATGGCAGAGGGAGAAGGAGAGGGAGCTTGGCATGGGGCTCAATCCCAGGAACTCATGATCATGACCTGAGCTGAAAGCAGATGCTTAACTGACTGAACCACCAAGATGCCCTCAAAAGAAATCTTTCAATAAGTATAACAAAAATCAGAGATAGCCAAAAAGAATTGGTAGCAATTTTTCTTTCTTAATGAGTCTTAAAGTGGGAAAGTTCCCTCTGTAGGGAGAGTCTGGGACTCCCACTTTTTGCTTTATCCAGTTCTGTATTGTTTGAATTTGTTACAAAGAACATATTTTACTTTCCTAATTAAGATGGTCTGTTAATCTTTATAAATAATTGTTTAACTTCAGTAAAGCTTCTCCATGTTTTTTTTTAAGGTTTTATCTATTTATTTGTCAGAGAATCAGAAAGCACAAGCAGGGTGAGAGGCAGAGGGAGAGGGAGAAGCAGGCTCCCTGCGGAACAGGGCGCCCGACGTGGGGCTTGATCCCAGGACCCTGGGATCATAACCTGAGCTGAAGGCAGATGCTTAACCCACTGACCCAGGCACCCCTCTCCATGTTGTTTTACTAGTGAGTTCTAACAATATTTCAAAGTCTAGATAATTTCCTGAGGGTTTAAAGTATCTCAGACACAGAAGAAAGATGGCGGGCATTTCAATTGTTTCTTGAGTTAGCACAATTCTTATGCAAGAACCTAATAAAACATAAAAATCTGTGGCCCAATTTTATTTATGGATAGAGATACAAAACTACTAAAACATTATTAATAAGTTGAGTCCATCAGCATGTGAAAAGAGAGTCACCCCTTGAAAACACTGGCTGTGATGTAGAGCTGTGAGTACCGTCACGAGACCATGTCTTCATCCAGCACCATCCAGCAGACCCAAGGAGAAAAATCACAGGATCATCTCCATTACAAAACTATTTTATCACCTCAACACTCATCCTAGGTACTCTTAGTTAACTAGAGAAACAAGAAGGGGGCTCTGGTGTGACTGAGTCTTTGCCACAAACAACTAACAATAGATGTGATGGAAAGCCTGCAGAACGATCTCATTCTTGTCAGACCATCCCTGTCATCACCATTTGTTAGCATTGTCCTAGAAGGTCCAGGCAACTGAATAAGATGCAAGACAAATAAAAAGGCCTTGCTTCTGCAAAGACGTACTCAAAAATGTCACTATTTTCAAAAGATATGTATTCCTGTATTTAGAATTTGATATTATTTGGGTGTCCAACAGAATTATGGCCAGAGGACCTAGAACAGTGGGACTTAGCCCCAGAGCACAGCTGCACCCCTATGAGGTCCAGGCTCACCAGCACCTGCCCTCGGGCTCCCTCCTCAACATGTACACCTCAGGAAAAGTGTACAGGTGCAGCTGTTCTCAGCCAATGGGAGCCACAAGGCCTGCTCTGCCTCACACACACCCTGTCTTCACCCTGGCTTGAATGAGAGCCTGAGGGGAAGCAAACAGGAGAAATGGTGCATAGACCCAATGGGTGTCTCACCCAGGTGAGCCTGGCAGGGCAGATGAAGAGGGTAGAGGGTCCAGACAGCACAGTTCCCATCCCAAGGAGTGGGCCCTGCCACTCCACACTAGCTTCTGGAAGGGAAATCAAGGTCAAGTGCAACTCATACAGAGTCTACAATCCAACCCACCATGTCAGTTCCCTCACAGGGTCTACAACCCAACCAGCCTTGTCAGCTCCAGCTCACAGGGCACAGCACATAAGATAGGAGCCAAGACCCCCCAAAATCCTGCCAGATCAACACCCCCTCACAACGTGGGACAGTTAACAAGTAAAACACAAGTAACATGGCTGCACTTCTGCCTGTGTTGCTAATAATTTGAGAGAAAAAAATGGGTTATAATTAGGTATATGGAGTACAGCCTCATTTTCATATAAATAAAAGTATAGAAGGTGATTTTTACTTTTTCATCTTTTATCCTATTTTCCATTAACACAAAAATGCATTACTTATATAAAGGTATAAAATTACAACCTAAAATTAAGATCTTTCCTAATATCACCAATTAGAAGACAGAATGAAAAACATTCTCTTCATTCTAAACACAGGCACACAAAAGCTCTGCGAAATACCTAGAAACAACCCTAACAGGTAGGTGGAGGGTCCCATGTGGACTAATGGTGAGCAGAAGGTGCAGACTGTGGAGCCTGCAGTGTTCGTGGGTAAACAAAAGCAAGACGTCATGAGAGCATGTCTGCTCATATTAACTCATTGACTTAAAACAATTCCAGTAAAAATGCTAATGTAATTTTTTTAGAATTTGACAAAAATGATTCTAAAGAATAATTATCCCCTAATTTTCTACAATAAAATATACCTTTTCATAATAGGTAGTAACTTTTTCAAAATAGGTCAACTCTTTTTTTTTTTTTCCTCCTCTGAATTTGCCAGTTGCTTTGACAAAGTAGAGTAGAATTCAGATGTTGAATTTTCCTGTTCTGGCCCTATGAGTTTGACTGCTGGTGATTGAGGTACCCCTGGGGGCTGCTTAGGCAAACCTGATCAGATGTGAAGAGACTTGCACCATGAGATCCAGCAGTCTGCCATGGAGACACTCATCAGCACATAATTCTTTCTGCCTTAGATAGATCCGGCCCCCGAACTACACTTGTAAACATAACCTGAATCCTCCTGTCCAAACCAGTGTGATCTTCTGAGCCAAGGGTTGGTGTGGTATTTCCCTGGATGCTGTGTTTGCTGACGTTGGTGCAAGTGCCAGCATCCAGTGTTGACAGAACCTGAGCATCATAAGGTGGGCGCCAGGATAGAGTTTCTTGGATGCAACCACTATGTGAATCAGCTTTTGAAATGATGGCCAACCGTAGCTAATAATAAACTAATATCTTGGGCCAGAGGAAAAGGAAGATGGCATTGGTTGGCTGGTCACCCTCCTTCCCGAGGGTGCATTATAAAAGCTTTGCCTTTCTTCAGAGCATTCCCACAAGTCAGCAGTGACCCCAAGGGCACCATGGCTGCCTTGGGCATCACAGTTGCCCTGCTGGTGTGGATGGCCACCCTAATGCTTATCTCTATCTGGAAGCAGATCTACAGCAGCTGGAAACTGCCCCCTGGCCCTTTTCCACTGCCCATTATAGGGAATCTTCTTCAGTTGGATTTAAAGAATATTCCAAAATCTTTCACCAAGGTAAGAGAAATATTGTTGGTTAGGGGAGGAGAATTCAGGGGTTAGATGTAGTATGTTTGCATTCAATTTATTGTCAGACAAGTTGTTATTCAATACCAGCTTGTTATGAGTGAACTGACTTAACAGTAGCATCCAAGAGTGATATTAATGATATTTAGTTAGTGGTACAGTGTGGGCATGGAGCCCTTGAGTGGGCATTGGCTATGGCTGGCCACAGAAGCCTCTGCTTGAGCCATGGGTTAAATGCTCTGTCACTGGCTGGCTTGGTGAGGCCAGTGTGTCTGGGGCTGCTGCTGTTCACCCCTGCAGTGTAAGGAAGGCCATGCATTTACATCAGATGCACACTGTAGACACCAAAGAACAGGGTGAAAAGTGGTGTCAACCAACCTGTGTGGTACCTCTGTCTACAGTTGTTGTGAACAGTGAATGAGCTAACAAATCTGAAAACTGAATGAGTTGCTAAATCTATTACATGAGTTAATAAAAGAATGCTATAGGGCACCTAATATGTGTGGGAAATGTTCGAGGTAAGGGAGATGTTGACAGTACTTTGTGCACCATGGAGGCTGGGCTTGTGGAGGTCAGGACAGTGCTGGCTCAAGGCCCTCCTGCAGCACCCTGGGGTCTAGGACTTTGACTGGGGACAGCAAACAGTGGGGGTGATAGGGCAGATGTTGGCAAAGGATCCTCCTGGGAGGGACAGGAGTCAGCCCACCAAGTTGATTGTGCCCAGGAGCCCAGGTATGCCGGAACCTTTCTCCCTGCAGAAGAAAGTCTCTATGGGAAGGGTCTTCCCAAGTCAGGCTGGACAATGACTGTCTTTCCCCAGATCCATCTGTGTTGGTCAACAACTTTGGGTTTTAAGCCTGGCTCACCTCCTAAGTTCCCAGTGGTCTCACTTGGCTCCTTGCTGGTCCCTGCAGCTGGCAGAGCAGTATGGGCCAGTGTTCACCGTGTACTTGGGCTCCCAGCGCACCGTAGTCCTGCATGGCTACAAGGCGGTGAAGGAAGCTCTGCTTGACCACAAGAATGACCTTTCTGGCAGAGGAGAAGTCTTTGCGTTCCAGTTGCACAAGGACAGAGGTGAGCCGTGCTTTTCAGAGCGCGCCCCCCATGGTGGGGTGGGAGCCAGGTTCTGAAATACCAGGGCTGATGACCACATAGCATATAGCACAACAAAACAAGAGTAAAGAGACCCTCAACAGTTCAGGTGCTCAGTATACACTTTATTGAAAGCTACTATCACAGACTTGTAGCCAAAAAAACAGGACCTCCAGCACCTACACTCTGACCAGCAGTACAGATGTGTTTATAAAGAGATACCACAGAGGGGAAAGGCCTCCAGCAGATGAGCTGTTCCTTCCTCCCGCAGACCTTCCAGCCTCCTGAGGCCTCAGTCTGGGGAGCTCTTCTCACTGACAGCTTCACCTGCTTCTGGGTGTTGGTGCTCCATGCTCCGAGGCCCCTCACCTAAGATCAGGCACTGACTCCCACTGGGCACCCTGTTTGTTTGTGGGGCTTAGGTCAGCTGCAGTTCACATTCTAAACCTGGAGACCTCTGATACCCAACCTGCGCTGTTCTGAGCACGGCAGTCCCAGCTCACAAAGGGACTTCCACATGGTTCCGTCTTGCCAGTGTCACCTCTCTTTCTTCTGCAGCCCATGTCTCCTGAGCCCCGGCTTCCCATATTTAGAATATGCCCTGTTACCTTGTATTAGGGATCTGGTGGTTTGAGTGTTTATCTGATGTTTATCTGAGTGTTGTCCAGACTCCTGACTCCAGCGCCTACCTCCTGTGTCTCCTGGGACATCCTGGAGCCCATGGGGGCGCCTGCTCACAGCTCCTCCAGCTCACAGCCCTGTGAGCATGCTGCCCACCACTGTCTGTCTCCTGACCCTGTGCACTGATTCTTTTCCACTTGCTCACTGTCGTTTTAATGAGATTCTAAAGCAGATTAGAAATAAAGCAGTGTCCCATCTACCCTACAAAATGCAGAAGCCTCTAGTTTTTTCTAAGTTAACTTTGATGACAAATCTCTAGAAAACCTGTATACACTTTATGCAGAAATTTCAAATTGACATGCTTACAGTTGCATCTGCTGTTCTTATGGTGCCATCCCCTATTCCCATCTACATTCACAAGGTCATACCCTGTCACTATCAATGGCATTTCGTTTTCTTTCTTGGACATTGTGGGTTTTTACTCCTTTGGGGTTGTCAAAAACAAAGTTAACTTCCTCAGTCTTTGTCATTAACACAAGAGGAGCTTTGTTGCACCACAAGAGCAGGAGTTGTGGGGTTAAGGAGCTCCATCCTGGTTCCAGGGAGCCCTTATCTGCCACTCATGGTCCAAGTCATGGGCCCCTGAATGCAGCCAGGCAAGGGCCATATTCACATTCCATGCGTTGGACTCAAGGGGGTTTTGTCCTGCCTATGGCTCCCAAGTCCTATTTTCACATGTCCCATGTAGCCAGACCCTATAAATGGGATACCTCTGATTCCCCAGGCATAATCGTGCAGATGTTAATTATCAGCATAATATTGAGCACAGGGCCCATGTTAATTTCAATAAATTTCGTTTCGGTGAATGTTTATGAGGCTCTGACCCAGAAGCATTACTGTCTCCATTTCAGCCTGTTTTGGTTTCCAAAGTCTTGGCTCCTCTGGGATCTCCCTCTCTGTCTCTGTCTCTGTCTGTCTCTCTGTCTCTGTCTTTGTTTCTTTGTTTCTCTGTCGCCCTCTTTGTCCCTCTTTGTCTCTCTGTCTCTGTTCCTCTCTCTTTCTCTGTCTCTTTGTCTCTGTGTTTATATGTCTCTCTGTCACTTTGTTTCTCTGTCTCTGTCACCCCCTTATCCCTCTGTCTTGTCTCTTTGTCTCTGTCTCTGTATTTGTCACTCTGTCTCTCTTTGTCTCTGTCATTCTGTCTCTCTGTCTCTGTCTCAATCTCTCTGTCTCCCCCTTTATCCCTCTGTCTTATCTCTCTGTCTCTGTCTTTGTCTCTCTCAGTTTCTTTCTCTCTGTCTCTGTCTTTGTCTCTCTGTCTTCTCCTCACATTTTCTGGCTTCTTCCACCTTCCCATTGCCACACAATTCTTCCCGATACTATTTTAGAATTGTCTGCCTCCCTGTCCGTCCCCCCCAGTCCCCATGTCACAGCCATTTGGGAAGGCCCACTAGGCACGCCCTCTTCCTGCCTTCCCTGCCAGCTTCTTGGGTCCTCAGCCCACAGCTGTGTCCTCTGGCCTCTTGAGTGCACACACTCTGGTGTGTGCTTGTCTGCCCTGTGTTCTGGGTCAACCCCTCTGCTGCAGGCACTGGAAGATGGAGGCTGCCCTCCTGCTGAGACCATCGTGGATCCCACAGACACACGGGAGTATGGTCACATATGCCCTGGGTTCCCTCCCCGGCTGCCCAGCTGTGTCCCCTACATCCACCCAGCAGGCTCCAAAGCATCTTGCAGGAATCCAAAGCTCTGCATGCACAGACCTGATGCAGGACCCCCAAACACCATCCCTAGCTGTGTGTTTAACCTGGCAAACAGCACCTCTAAGTATGGCCCTGGGTGCTGTGTACCCTCCGAGCACTTACACCCAGTTACGGACCACGTGGTGGGACCACCTGTCTGTCTCTACCTCATGTTCCCTTCAGGGTGGAACTAGACCTTAGTCTAGCCTGTGCTGCCGCCCTCGTCCCCCCCTCACCTCACACCTCCGGTCCCGCCTCCCCCCCCACCTCGCACCTCCGGTCCCTCCTCCCCCCCCTCACCTCGCACCTCCGGTCCCTCCTCCCCCCCTCACCTCGCACCCCGCCTCACCTCGCACCTCCAGTCCCTCCTCCCCCCACTCATCTCACACCTCCCGGTCCCTCTTCCCCCCCATCTCACACCTCCGGTCCCTCCTGCCCCCCATCTCACAGCTCCAGGTCCCCCTTCTCCCCCTCATGTGACACCTCTGGTACCTCTCAGGCCCACCAGACTTCCTTCTAGAATATGCCATGCCTCGGCCTTCCTCAGACCTCTGCTTGCACCTCCAAGAGGGATGTCCATGAGGTCTTCCCAAATCCGATGGTTGGCAGAGTCTGGGAGCTGAGTGACAGCTCAGGTTTTAGTAAGGACACTTTTTTATTTGTAGTGTGGAGGTTAGAAACCAGTGGAAATGGGAGAGCTTCTGGGAAAGGGGTTGGAGGCTTTCTCTTGGTGGGCAGCTGTGATTTTGTTTCATGTGTAAAGACTCCGGGCAAAGTGGAAAAAGACAGTAAACTGATGGTGTGAAGAACACTGGGGGAAGTGAAATGTCAGGTGGAAAGCCAGCCTCAGGGGTACCAGTCAAGCTTTTGGACACCAGGCAGCCCTAGTGCTTGGGTGCCCAGGCTGGACAGTTTGCCACTTGGGTCCCTCCCACCTGGAGCTGCTCGCCTTGTCACTCTGCCCCAGGGGGTCTGCAGTAACTCCTCTGCTGTCCCCTCTTCCCTAGGGATTACTTTCAACAATGGACCAGGCTGGAAGGACACCCGGCGGCTCTCCCTGACCATACTCCGGGACTATGGCATGGGGAAACGTGGCAACGAGGAACGAATCCAGAGGGAGATCCCCTTCCTGCTGGAGGCGCTCAGGGGCACCCAGGGTGCGTGTGGCTGCCAGGTCCTTGCACACTCAGCCTGGGGGGCAGCCCTGGTGGACCCGTGAGGCCCAGCTGGCACCAAGAGGGTTGCCTTAATCCACAGACACTGTCTGCAGCTCAGGGTCCTCTCCATGTCCAGTGTGTTCATCTGGAATAACTGGAAAGTATAGGGACCCCCAGTAGGCTCCCACAAGCCTCGTAGAATTACGGGGGTGCTTAGGATGACAGCTAACAGGTGCTGGAAACTGTTAGTGGGTGGGAGTTGCCCTGACCGCTCCCCTGTCTTCCAGGCCAGCCCTTCGACCCCACCTTTCTCCTGGGCTTTGCCCCCTGCAACGTCATCGCTGACATCCTCTTCTGCAAGCACTTTGACTACATGGATGAGACAGGTCTGAGGATACAGAGGCTTTTCAATGAGAACTTCTGCCTGCTCAGCACGAACTGGCTCCAAGTGAGGCCCCCCCCCCCCAGTTTGCACCTGCCCGGGGTTGCTTCACTGAGGTTAGGAAAAAGACAAGGGCAGGAACTGGGGGACAGGCAGATAGGCCCACAAAAGCCAGAGGACGGCCAGGGCTTGTGCAACTCCATAGCCTGGATGTTGCTTCTGGAAACATCGATGGGGCCTGATGTTTCCCTTGCTGACCACGGGAGGCTGTTTTACCCTTTGAAACAGGACCCCATTAACACGTGACCTCACACACCCCACAACGAGGTGCCAAAAAGATACTGTGAGCCAAAATGTTCTAAATAATACAATATGATGTCCATAATTCAAGTTGGAGAAAATAATTAGCCCAGTACACAAAACCATGTTGCATCTGGAAAAAAAAAATAGAAATTCCCTCTCTCTCTCTTTCTAGCTTTATAACATGTTCCCAAGCTATCTGCACTACCTGCCTGGAAGCCATCGAAAAGTATTTAAAAATGTGTCTGAAATAAAAGATTACACTTCAGAAAGAGTGAAGGAGCACCAGGAGTCGCTGGACCCCAACTGCCTCCGAGACTTCACTGACTGCCTGCTCCTGGAGTTGCGGAAGGTACCGTGCAGACCCTAGCTCCACAGACTCCATGAAGGGAGATGTGTTTGCTGGTGGGGTGGGGGCATGCACGTGCATGCTTCAGACTGACATTGTGACACTGCTGGGCCCACATGAGCACATTCTGATGCTCCTGGTCCGAACTCACACTGGCTTCACATGACCATCACACCTGCTCCTAAAGGTGTGGGGACACAGCCAGCCTTCCTGGCCAAACTCAAACACCACACACTGTCCATGGTGCTGGCCAGCAAGACGGCTTTCTTGGAGGAGCCCTCAGTGGCTGTGGGGCTGGGTGCATGAGCCTGTAGCCGGTTTTCTGGGAGCCTTGATTTCCCTAACTGTGCCATGGAGACGATCATGTCTCCATGGGATACCCTCATGCACACCTGAGGGAGACAGAGGTCTCTCATCCACCTGAAGACATCTTCTTATGGAGTCCCTGTCTGTCTCTAATATCTGCAGGAAAGATACAGTGCAGAGCCTTGGTACACCTTGGACAATATTGCTGTGACCGTGGCTGACCTGTTCTTTGCGGGTACAGAGACCACCAGCACCACTCTGAGATATGGGCTCCTGATTCTCATGAAATACCCAGAGATCGAAGGTATGCCAAGTAGCAAGCAAGGATTCTGGGGCCATGGATTGTCAGGCTGGAGCATTTAGGGTGAAGCTTTCTGTCTGCAAAATGGAAATTGGCATTGCTTGTTAATCCTCATGGCAGTGACATAGGGATCACTGCATGAATTCAGTGGACGTGTTCTTGTATATGATGGGTGCCTGGCACTCTTGAATACCAACTCCTCACACCCCACTGGCTCACACCTGGGCCCTGCTCCAGGGAGAGGGTGTCCTCATGGCTAGCGGCCAGGCCCCTGGGCCCTGCTCCAGGGAGCCCCGTTACCCCGAGGCATGCTGGCTGTTGCTGCTAATAATAATTTGGCTCCTGCTATGTGCCAGGCATAGCGTGAGCCCTGACATACACTGTGCTCTTAGGGCAGGTGTTTTGGGATATGAGGTAATTTCCCCCAGGGATGTGGAATGTCACCTGTTCAGGATCAGATCTGACCCCAAAGCCATTGCATTTTCTGTCTCACAGGAGGGTGAGGGGTGAAGGAGCCAAAAGTCTCTGGAGCAAAGCCTTTCACAGATCTGAGAGAACTTCTGACCAGTCTGTACTGGGGGAACTAGACTGAAAAACTTTTACATGACTAATTATGAGTAATCTCCAATATAGAGAAAAAGAAAATAAATATGACTGACACCCTTACACCACTGCCAAATGGAACATGTGTTAGCCTTTGCAGTATCTGCTTCAGGGCTCTTGAAAACAGGTTGCCAAAGCCCCTCCTTGGGACCCCTGCCTGCCCCCCCAGACTTGTCCCAGGACTGTGTCATCTCTGTGCTCGACTTCATACATTTAATGTTTGTTCAGTATCAGCATACCAGCCATACTGGACGTGTTTTACATTTTTACCTGGGAACCACATGGTACACAATTTTGTCATTCACTCAATGTATCGCTATCCCAGCAACTTGTCAAAGAAAGGGTCGCCCAGCCTGGGGGGTAGTCCTGGTGCTCCCTCGTTCTTCATGCAGAAGGCCACGTGTATCTGTTTCCATCCTGTCTCTCACCTCCACACTTCCTGAAGGTTGCAATAAACCAGCCTGGGGTCATAATTAAGACAGAGATTTCCCTTCAACTGAAATTTCTAAGACCTTTTTGTTATTCTCTACTCCTGTGGTGTAATGTCAAGAACTGGATTAGCTATGATCAGCTAGAGGCTAACACGCGTTAGAGACTTAAATAACCTCACAGAGTGTGGCTCTCATTGGCATTTGTGGATCCAAAGTATCCAGGACACCCCAAAGCACTGCTGAGAGTGCTCCCATAAGCATCTGCTGGGTGGAGGGGTGCCGAGCCAGTCTGGCAATTATCCTTTACATCTATTCTATTCATATCTTGGCAGAGAAACTTCACGAAGAAATCGACAGGGTGATTGGGCCAAGTCGAATCCCTGCCATCAAGGACAGGCTAGAGATGCCCTACATGGATGCCGTGGTGCATGAGATTCAGCGATTCATCGACCTCCTGCCCTCCAACCTGCCCCATGAAGCAAACCAGGACACGGTGTTCAGAGAATACGTCATCCCCAAGGTCAGATATGAGCCTGGAGTGCACACCATGAGCACCTCCCTGCCAGCCCATCAGCTAACCCACCAAAAGGAAGGATCCTTTGGCAGATGTGGCTGAATGGTGGGTGACAGGCCTGCGTTCTGCCCTACAGAGTGCTGCTTCCCCAGCAGTCCTCACATGGACCTGATGACCAAGGAATGGAGAAAATCTGCAAGGGGCCCTCTGGGCCAATGCCTGGGGTTTGTGGTTCTTCCCAACCTCAGAAACCAACAACAGTTAACATCTAGCCTGTGAGCTCCTCCTCTGATGAGATTAGAGCTCTTGTCACCATTTAGACCAGAGCCCTGACTGCCTTCCATCTAGTCCTTAAGCAAACGACTCCCCCCACTGGGCATCCCAGTGGAAAGCTCATGTTTTGTTAACTTGACTGACACAGGCCTTTTTCCTTCTAGGGCACTGTTGTAATTCCAACACTGGACTCCGTCTTGTTTGACAACCAAGAATTTCCTGATCCAGAGAAGTTTAAGCCAGAGCACTTTCTGAATGAAAATGGAAAGTTCAAATATAGTGACTATTTCAAGGCATTTTCCGCAGGTAAGAAGAGTGAAGATGTAGGGCCTTTCCTAGGGAACTGTCCCCAATTCCTGCTCTCCGCTATAGTTAAGCACCTGTATGGGGGACCCAAGTGTGTTCTCCCCTGTTCACAGAGGTTAAATGACACCTTCTTACCAGAGGTCCTGGGAATGAGATGAATTATTCTTACTTCATAGCAGATACTTCTCTTCATCCAGTGCTAAAACTCTACTTAATAGGACTTAGTGAAAATCTTTCAAAACTGCATTACATAATTCTCCATAATTTTAAACAAAGGTTAATAAACAAAACCTAACATTTGGTTACCTGGACTCATGGAACCATCTGGCCTTCCCTAGGCTGTGTCCCAGGGCCCTCTCTCAGGCCCTTGGTCTCCTCCAGGGCCTTTCTTCAGTGGTTGGTGGGAGGGAAGTATGTAACCAACTTGATAACTCAAGGTTAGAGCACTGGCTTCTGGCTGTGGCCCTACTTCTTTTCTGAGAGATGTCAGGGTGAGCACTGGGCAAAGATCACTCTCCCAACCCCACGTAGGTTTATGCTGCTGAATCCTGGTGACAGAAGCTGTATGAAGGCTGGTCCCTGAATATGTCTATCATGGATATTCTTATACTGAAAGGTGTTATGTGCTTCCTTCCAAGGGGCAGGAGGGGTCCATTCTGCTTTAGGGTGACAGTTTACCCACAGCCACAGCCCCCCGCCCCCTGCTGCTGCCTTACCTGTGCTGCTGTGTCTTGAAGCTGCCTCAGAGTCTCAGCAGCACTACTGTCATTTCCAGGAAAGCGGGTGTGTGTTGGAGAAGGCCTGGCTCGCATGGAATTGTTCCTGTTCTTGTCCGCTGTTCTGCAGCACTTTAACCTGAAGTCTCTTGTTGACCCCAAGGATATTGACCTCAATCCCATCACAGTCGGGTTTGCCAAGATCCCACCCCATTACAAACTCTGTGTCATTCCCCGCTCGGGCTGAAGAGTCCCACCCCAGCCCCAGGCTCTTCGATGCAAACCTGGAGTTTTCCTGCTCCCCCCATGTCCCCTCGGTGCCTCCAGGAAGACCCTCCCTGCACAGTCTCAGTGAAAGTACTCAGGGCTTCACAGGGAAGAAATTGGGCTAGAGGTGCTGCTTTCCAGAGTTACGTACATCAGATGAAATTTGACAACGAAGTCCAAAAAAGATTGTGTAAAACTAATTAAACAAATTGAAACAAACTATGACCTACTTGGGTCTATGTTGGGGTCCCTGGATCAAGGGTGAATGAGACTGTAGTAATGTAAATGTACCTCTTCCAGGAAAGTAGAAGTACCCAGTCACCACGGTCCACAAAAAAGAATACAAATGCTATTTTGTAGTTTGGAAAAGGGGAAAAATAATATACCTTTGGGTTTTTTTTGTGAATTTCTGTATTTCTGTATTTATTTTTATTATGTTATGTTAATCACCATACAGTACATCATTAGTTTTTGATGTAGTGATCCATGATGCATTGTTTGCGTATAACACCCAGTGCTCATTGCAATACATGCCCTCCTTACAACCCATCACCATGCTTACCCATTCCCCAACCCCTTCTAAAACCCTGTTTGTTTCTCAGAGTCCATAGTCTCTCATGGTTCATCTCCCCCTCTGATGTCCACCCCCTTCATTTTCCCCTTCCTTCTTCTAATGTCCTCCATGCTATTCCTATGTTCCACAAATAAGTGAAACCATATGACAGTTGTCTTTCTCTGTTTGACTTATTTCACTTAGCATAATCCCCTCCAGTTTCATCCACGTCAATGCAAATGGTTGGTATTCATACTTTCTGATGGCTGAGTAATATTCCATTGTATATATGGACCACATCTTTATCCATTCGTCTGCTGAAGGGCATCTCGGCTCTTTCCAGTTTGGCTATTGTGGACATTGCTGCTATGAACATTGGGGTGCATGTGCCCCTTCTTTTCACTGCATCTGTATCTTTGGGGTAAATACCCAGTAGTGCAATTGCTGGATCATAGGGTAGCTCTATTTTTTGAAAGCTTGTTAGCCATGTCAAAAATGTATCCACTACCATCTATCCCTAGAATATGAAGTTGTTTCTTTGGGCTCACTTCTCAGCATCATGTGCTATATTTAAAGATTAAACTATGTCTGAAAAGTCAACACAGACATCTGTTATTATCTCTTAACATTAAAATGTGACTTTGTACCCGGAACAAAAACTCTAGCCTCATGGGGGAATCTGTGTGGAATAAGGCAGAAATGAGGAAATCATTAATCAGCTCAGTGAACTAAACAATGTGGTGAAGCAGTAGAGGAATTTGGAACAAGAACTCTGTCCCCACCCTGTTGGCTCCCACCAAAGCCCCCTGTGTGCTCAAGACCTTCATGCTTTGACTGCCCATCTGTGGGTTGGGCCTGATGGAGGCCCCTCTATGCAATAAGTATGAGGGCTGGACAGTGTAGGTATGCAGAGTCTTTGGAACTTGTGGGGCACACCGAAAGTCCTGCATAAGTGTTCCTTAATAAAATGAATAATGTTTCATAGCCAACCATGTAGCATCTTTCAATCTCTCTCTGGCTGACCCTCCCACCTCCCTCTTATATGGGTCCTGTGACAGTAATGGGCCCACCCAGATAACACAAGATAGTCTCCCTGTCTTAGAGTTCCTAACTTCATCACACATTCAAAGCCCCTTCTTCATGTAAGGTAGCATATTCACGGGTTCTAGGATTAGGATGTGTGTGCCATCTTACCCACCATGAAGCACTAGCAAAACCAACATTGACAGACTGACAAATCACAAACTGAGGAGGACCAGCTGCCCCGTTCTGAAAGTTGCCTGCCTTTTTCATGACCATACCTACATGGGGGTAATACTACTTCCAGCAGAAAAAGATAAGAAAATGTCTTTTCATTTGCTTTGGGGATTTAAAGTTGAGAGAATGCCTAGGAAAATTCTAAAGTGCTCAAAAGTGATGAAAAACAGTTGGGAGGAGAGTGAGGGCTGTTGGGGTGTAAGTGTTTAACTGATCCAGGCAGCAGCAGTTGGTTATCAACAGGCTTGGGTTGCTTCTTGGTCAGCACATTCCAAAATGCATCCATGCTGTGGTTTCCCAAGCCCCAGCTCTTATGAGGCTTGCTGTCTCCTCAAGGGCAAGCATGGACTGCCTGGTAAAACTACCTTGAAAATTAGTCTGAGCTTAAGAAACCCTCCACTGATCTGAACCACCTTTGGCGGAACAGGAAGAGAAAGGGTGGGGTGGACAAGGGAAAGAAGGAATGTCTTGGTCTGTTCTCTTTGCTATAACAAGTTGCCATAGATTGTGGTTTATCACCGAAAGATGTGGAGGCTGTAAGTCCACAATCAGGATGCCAGCAGAGTGGGGTTCTAGCGAGGGCAGATGGCATTTGGGTCGTAGATTGCTGACTTCCTGTTGTGTTCTCATGTATAGAAAGAGCTCTCTGGCTCTTCTCCTAAGGGCACTGGTTCCATTCATGGCCTGATCAGCTCCCAAAGGCCCTGCCTAAGACCATCACATTGAGATTAGGGCTTCAACATAAGAATTCTGGGGGACACGGACATTTAGTCTATAGCTTTCCATTCCTAGCTTCCCAAAATTCATATCTTCCCACATGTAGAATACAGTGATTCCATCCCAGCAGGCTCAAAGTCTTACTGCTTGCAGTCAGCATTTAAGTCCAAAATCCAGTCTCCCCTAAATATCCACTAAATCAGTTGGGGGTGAGACTGGGGGTATTGTTTCTCCTCAAGCAAAACCTCTCTCCAGCTGTTACCCATGACACCAAATGAGTTATGTGGTGGGGCAGGCGCCTGATAGACACTCCCATGTCAAAAGGGAGAAATGGTAAGGAAAGGAGGAGTGGCGGGTCCCAGGACGTCTAAAGCCCAGCATGGCAAATTACAGGATCTCAACACCTGAGGAGAATCCTCTCTGGCTTGAGGCTCTGCCCTCCAGAACCAATGGGGTGGAGATCCTGCCCCTGAACCTCTGCAGGGTAGGGTTCATGCCCGTGGACATCCCCAGGCATCCTGGCCCCAAGGACTTCAGGCAGAGAATGTCTGGCCTGTGAAAACAAGGTGATAGTCCCCCTTGAAACTGAGGAGGTGGCTCTCGTAATCTCTGAGGGGTCATGCTTCGCTTGCTTTGAAGTACGACACTCTTCACAGCTGAAAAGCTCTATTATTTCAGCTGGTAAAATCCAAGTCTGACAGCCTCCCTTCCTTCCTTCCTTCCCATCTCTTTCCCCCTCACCTGGTTCCCACCCTGCAAACCTCCTTACCAAAGGGTCACTTGGCCACACCCTTCGTGCTCTCTTCTGAACATGCTCTCTCTCTCTCTCTCTCTCTCTCTCTTTTTGCAATAAGGATAGGATAAGAATTTCCAACAGATTTTTGCTTAATACTTCCATCTTCGAGTCACTTCTCTCTCCTTGTACTTCCCTATGAGCAGTCAGGAAGGACCTGTCTGTTCTGCCAGTACATTGTTTAGACACCTGCTCAGCTATGTATCCAGTGTCATTGCTTTCAAGTTCTGCCTTCCACAAAACAATGCAAATCAGACACAATTCAGCCAAGTTCTTTTCCAGCTTGTTACAAGAATTGCCTTTTCTGCATTGCCAACTGAGTGTGTTCCTCATTTCTGTCTGGAGCCTTATCAGATCAGTCTTTATGATCCATGCTTCTGACACATTTCATACATGATTACTTTTGAATGCTCTAAAAAGATAGAACCTCTCTCTAGAGCTCTCCCCACTTCTGTGCCATTACCAGCATTACCTTTAAAAGTCCATGTGCATTATGCTGAGTGAAATAAGTCAATCAGAGAAAGACATGTATCATATGACCTCACTGATATGAGGAATTCTTAAACTCAGGAAACAAACTGAGGGTTGCCGGAGTGAGGGTGGGGTGGGAGGGATGGGGTGGCTGGGTGATAGACATTGGGGAGGGTATGTGCTATGGTGAGCGCTGTGAATTGTGCAAGACTGTTGAATCACAGACCTGTACCTCTGAAACAAATAGTGCAATATATATTAAAAAAAAAAAGAAGAAGATAGTAGGAGGGGAAAAATGAAGGGGGGGAAATTGGAGGGGGAGACGAACCATGAGAGACGATGGACTCTGAAAAACAAACTGAGGGTTCTAGAGGGGAGGAGGGTAGGGGGATGGGTTAGCCTGGTGATGGGTATTGAGGAGGGCACATTCTGCATGGAGCACTGGGTGTTATGCACAAACAATGAATCATGGAACACTACATCAAAAACTAATGATGTAATGTATGGTGATTAACATAACAAAAAAATTCCATGTGCTGTGGACTGAATGTCTGTGTCCCTTCAAAGCTCACATGTCGAAGCCCTAAATCTCAGGTGATGGTATTAGGAGGTGGGACCTTTGGGAAAGGCTTAGGTCAGGAGGGCAAGGCCTTCTTGAGTGAGACCAGTGCCCCTATAAAAGGGACCCCACAGAGCTGCCTTTCCTCTTCTACCACATGAGGGCACAGCATAAAGATGGCCTTCAGTGAGGAAGCAGGTTCTCACCAGACACTGTATCCACTGCCCTGATGTACAATTCTTTTTATACAGAGAATTCATTCCTTAAAAGTTTGGTAGAATTAATCTGGGCGTGCTGCCTTTTGATTTAGAAAGTTATTAACTATTGATTTAATTTCTTTAATAGAGATAAATCTATTCCTTTTTTTATTATGTTCAATTAGCCACTGCATAGTACATCATTAGTTTTTGATGTAGTGTTCAATGATTCATTAGTTGCATATAAGTCTATTCCTACCATTTTTTTTCTTCTTGTTTTAGTTGGGCAGATAGTGTTTTCAAGGAATTGGCCCATACATCTAGGTTACCATGTTTGTGACATAGAGTTGTTCAGTATTCCTTGATTATCCTTTTAACTTCCATGACATCTGTAGGGATCATCTCTCTTTCATTTTTGATACTATTTGCACCCTCTTACTTCTTTTCTTAGTTAGATTTTATTGGTCTTTTCAAGGGACCACCTTTGGTTTTGTTGATTTTCTCTATTGATTTACTCTTTCAAATTTTATTGATTTCTGCTCTAATTAATATTATTTCTTTTCTCTGCTTACTTTGGCTATAATTTGCTCTTACTTTTCTATTTTCCTAAGGTGGGAACTTAGATCACTCATTTTAGGTCTTCCTTCTTTCTAGTCTGTGCGCTCAGTGCTGTCAATCACCCTCTATGTGTAGCTTTCAGTACATTTCACAGATTTTGATAAATTGGGTTTTCAGTTTCATTTAGTTTAAGATATTTCTAAATTTCTTTTGATTTATTCTTTGATCCATGTATTAT